CCCCAAAACCCCAAAACCCCAAAACCCCAAAACCCCTTATTTTTAAAATATTATTGAAGACTATACTTACCTTATTATCATGAATACTTATCTAGATTTCCAAGAACCATGGATGACTTCTTACTCGGAAGCTCAAGAGTATGTATTTAGTATCCCAAGTCCACATGAAGCAGACAGCTTTGTTGAAGAAGATGAGCAGCCAGAACTAGAAGTTGGCCAACAAAATTTGAACTTCAATGCTAACCTAAACTTTGAAGATTGCCCTGACTTTGAACCTCCAATAGATCAAGAATTATTCTCTTATAATTCCGAAGAACCAACAGTAATCCAGTGCGAACTCTCTGGAGATCTCAAAAATAGTACTAAAGAGACGGACCCAGATTCTTGTAGTAAAATCCCTGAAGTAAGCTCCGAGGATGAAAAGGATCTACTAGAAGAGACCCAGAAGTCAACCCAAAGCAATGAGGAAAGCTCTAGCTTGACAAATAGCCCTTCTAGCAACATTTAACGAGTCACAACATTTGTTCAGAGAGGATGTCATCATGAAAGCCACAATTAGAGCAGCGAATAAAATTATTAAAACCTTCATTGATGAAAATTTGAAGCAGTATTATAAGGAACATAGAGTTACATTGAAGAGAAAGCTAGACACTCATAGAATCGAAACCTACGACTTCATCGTAGAATGTGTGACAAAGGCCCTAGGTTACCAGCTCCCTGAGAGAAGAATGAAAGGAGTATATGCAATCATATTCCATCTTTGTCTTCGTAAGAGAGATGCAATTGAATGGATGATTCCTTTCTCTAGTGAATCTGAGAAGAGATCTGTGGCTTTTGAGCTTCAAAATTACAACAAACAGTCGTTATCCTACACAAAAGATGCAGGAGAGTTCTGCTTAAATCACTGTTTGCTCAAAGTAGCGAAGGCTCTATACTTCACTAATCCAAGCTCCCAGGCTGTTTTCAGGGATCATGTCCTGAACACCAACAAGATGGTTGGAATCAAGGATCCTGAGCAGTACTTGGCTAGATTAGTCGATGAGCTTAAACAGATAGAAGAGGATTTCTAATTCTATTTATAAAGCTTCAATACAAATTGTTTAGAAAGGGGTTTTGGGGTTTTGGGGTTTTGGGGTTTTGGGG